ATCAGATGTGGTCTTGGCTTTTTAATTGTTTCTTGATCTGTAAAACTGCTAAAAATTTGATACATGTTTACATAGCACCTGCTATGAAGTAAAAGCTCAACAAAAGATAATTATTACTATTAAGATTGTGGTTTACTGGGGTTGGCAGGTGGCGTGGTGGTTAAGGACACTGGACTCCCACATTACCCATCACACAGTTAGAGTCCTGAACCTGGCAGCTCTCTCTCTTTCTCTCTCTGTCCCTCTCTGGTCAAATTAAAATGAATAAAAGTTAAAAAAAATAATTCTTAAAAAAAAGATTGTGTTTTACTTTAATATTCAATACACAAATCCAGTACTATAGTTAAGTTTAAGTATATTAGTAAATTAAGCCATTTCAAAAGTTAATAAAAGCAAGATAAAACTTTTCAAAGACCAAACAATACTGAGGATGGAAGAATTGAGAGAGGTTACCTAAGAGGAAAGAGAGAGAAGGGAGGGAAGGAGTGAGGGAAAGAAAGAAAGAGAAAAGAGTAAAAAAGGAAAGGGAAGAAAGAAAAGAAAGAAAGATAGGTTGGCTGCAGATAAATGAAAAATAAAAAGATCAGTGAGCTGGCAGAGTCACTCTGAGGTAAACATCAGTGTACCTTTTCAGTCTAAAGACTAAACATAACCTAGATTCAACCAGGAATAGGATTAGTACTAATTTAAATAAAAATTTGATGTAAAGTCATGTAGGACTAAGAGAAATAAAAGATGGTAACCTTGTTGCCAAAATGACTATAATGAACTCTCCTCAGCAATCCCTTTTCCCCAAAAGCCATTTGCTCATTGAAAGGTGAAGCATACTTTTCCACATTCTTTAGGGACTATGTGGGACTTCTCTGACCAAGAGAATACAGTAGAAGTTAACACTGCATGACTCCCTAAACTAGGTTACAAGCCTTGCAACTCTGGCCAAGTCTCTGCGAACAACTGTTAACTAGGGTAGTCAGTTACCTTATAGAAATGCTGACTACCCTAAGGCCACTAATAAATGAGTAACCATGTGGATACAGATGATCAGTCTGGCTTCATCTAGTCCAGCTATCACACACATGGCACTAGAAATACATCCTGGCTCCTATTTGACTGCAACCTTAAGATGAAGCCCCCCCAAAAACTGCCTAAGTGAACTGAGTCAACACCTAAATCTTTGTTTCAACACACTACACATCTGGGTACATTTCTACAAAGCAACATATAACCAGATCGGCTACCCAAGCCTTCATTGTATCCCACTGCCCAACTTTTCCTTACATAAGCCTGTTACCTTCACTCAGTGTTATTATTCCACTAGTCTAAGAGAAACGCTACCACTGGAGAATTCACGGTTCACCACACAGGGGAGCACTCTACTGTTCACACTAATCCAAATTCTACTGATTTTTGCTGGGTCCAGCTCAGGTGTCACTTCCCTTCCCTACAAGGGGAATATGGGGGTAGTAACCTTGCTTCTCAGGGAATTATCCTTTTTTCTCCCCCTAAAGTCTCTGTCACTCACTTAGCATTTATGTATTAGCTTGTATACTTTTTTTTTTTTGAGAGGTTTCTGCTATAGGGTGCATGCGCTCGCCAGACAGAGAGAGAGAGAGACAGAGAGACAGAAAGCGAGAAATCACCCCCAAGAGGGGATGGTCACGCCGCAATCCCTTCTCCTCCATTCTCCTCTTGGGATCTTGGGCACGCACGCATACGCGCCCGGCGTGAGTTTTAAGCCACCGGGTCCAGGACGTGAACCGTGGTCGACTACGTGGGAGTCCAGTGACATAGCCATTACGCTAACTGCTGGTTCCCAGCTTGTATACTTTTTAAAAGATACTCCTACTTGGGTGTAAATTCCCTAGGAGACCCCATTTCTGTGTACTTCTTTGTATCTCAGCAAGTAACTCAACCAATGTGGCATTTGTGGGTATGTCAACAAGGATTTCCATAGAAATAGCCTGAAATAGAAGTTCAGTTGGAAAGCCTGAGTATAAAGCTTAAGTATTCTTCCTCTACCGAGAAGGGCCAATTTCCCTTATATGCACATAGCTTGCTCCCTCTCACCTCTTTCCGGTCTTTACTCAAAGGTCACTAAGGTTTTCCTGACCACTGCATTCCTTTCCATAGCACTGACACACTTCTAGTCCCCCTTCACTGCTTATTTTTCCTCACTGTACTGACAATTTTTACCCACTTAAGACTGTCAGACTCCCACTAAAACCTAAATTCCATGAGCACAGGGATTTTTATCTCTTGTTCACTGAGATGTTCTCATGCCTGAGTAACTACGTGGTACTTAGTGAACATCCAATTTGTTAAAATGAAAGAATGAATCAAAAACAAAAATGGATAAACTGAAAGGCTCTTATCTGAAGCAAAGTGATTTTTGCCTTAAAAAAGAAAAAAAAAAACCTTTACAATAGGACATAAGGTTCTTTAAAGTTCATTCATTGAAAATACTCCTTAAACCTTTCAGTTCCCAATCAAAACATGGTTTAGCTTGACTTCTTTTCATTACCATCATTTTCTTTTAGCAAATATGACACACGGTATTTCTGAATCATGTCAGCAATTCCGTAACAAGAACCGCCAGAAGCAAGTGTGGCAATATTATAAGAGGCACGAACAATTTAAGCATACATTTTCCTTCCCTTTGGGAAGATAAAAGTTAATGATTTTTAAGTCACCTGGATATATACCAATCTACCATGTTGCTTAATGTCTTTCACCAATTTCTCTTATTGCTTCACTTATTTTCTTTCTTCCCCCAGACAGTACTAGTTGCACTGGCTTAGGCAAGGATTGTGCTGCCTCCTAAATCTCATGATTTTCTACTGTGCTGCTGAGTTCTTACATATTCCATAAAACATCAGACCCTGAAATAAATTAAACTTTACCCTGTGGAGCAAATATCATCTAAATGATGACAGGCTAGTGAGTCACCAAGAGGATCAGTCAGCCAGAGATTACTCTTACCCAATAAGTATTACTGTTTGACCCAGACAGACCCTTTCTGACAAAATCCTACACTTAAATCTATTGGGTTGTTGGAAAAGCCATGACATGCTTTTCTATGGAAACTGTGTCAAGACTTCCTAGGACCCTGGACATGCCTGACAAAACTTTAAAGATAAAAATCAAGTTGTAATGTCTCTAGGCACAGTGGTAAATCTTTTTTTTTTTTTTTTGAGAGGTTTTTGCCATAGGGCGCGTGCGCTCGCCAGATAGACAGAAAGGGAGAAATCACCCCCCGGGGGCACGGCCACACCGCAATCTCTTCTCCTCCATTCTCCTCTCGGGATCATGGGCACGCACGCACACGCGCCTGGCGTGAGTTTTAAGCCACCGGGTCCGGGACTCAAACCGTGGTCGACTACATGGGAGTCTAGCGACATAGCCATTACACTAACAGCTGGTCCCGGCACACTGGTAATTTAAGTTACACAATAGAGAATGGAACATTGTCTTTATCCGTACTAATACTCCTAAATCCTTCTTATCAACACATCTTTTATATTTCTTTATTCACACACAGGAGAAAGAAGGGTGAGCCAGGGTCTAGCTCCACAGGATCAGGCCATGCCAAGATCCCCTTCCTCTGGTTCTCTAGTCCTCGAGATCCTGGCCACTTGTGCACTTCCTTGGCATATTTCTGATTGACCAGGCCAGGAATTTGACCCACAGTCACCAAGTGGAATCAGGCTTCTCTTGAGAGCACACGCTAATCACTGTGCCACAAAGCTGGACCCAACATATCTTTACCTTTAAGGAAATCCCAACTGAAACCCAATCCTGACATTCACAGCCTTCCTCAACTTTATCTCCTACCTAGTCTTCAATGCCCTGCTTAAATCTCACCTCTGCACCAACTGCTCTAGTTTCTCCACTCAGAACTTCTCTCCTCCCTTCTCTTAGTAGCTACTTTACTCCCAGCACTTGTTATTAACCGAGTCACCTATGCAAGTGCCTATCACCCCACAAGTCCTAGTCTATGGAATTAAGTGCAAGGTTCTCAGGAATATGCCCCATACAGTGTTTTAGGCTTGTAGCCACCCAATAAGACTTGAAATGTTAGTACTTAACAAAAACTCCCTACAACAAAATCCGCTCCCTCCATCAAAACTTGGGGCAACAGGGAACCAGCAGTTAGCGTAATGGCTATGTCGCTGGACTCCCACGTAGTCGACCGCGGTTCGTGTCCCGGACCCGGTGGCTTAAATCTCACGCCAGGCGCGTGTGCGTGCGTGCCCAAGATCCCGAGAGGAGAAGGGATTGCGGCGTGACCATCCCCCCTGGGGGGTGATTTCTCGCTTTCTGTCTCTATGTCTCTCTCTGTCTGTCTGGCGAGCGCACGCGCCCTACAGTGAAAATCTCTCAAAAAAAAAAAAACAAAAACTTGGGGCAACACAACTGTATCAAGTATTGTGTTGGCCACTGAAGATGAAGGATCAGACTTCCAAAGGCAGAACTGGAACACCTTCCTTTCTTCCAATCCAATGTCTCACTTCTTATAAACCAAGTTCAAGTGCCACCTGGCTACAATCACTCCCATTGGCAATACCTACTACATACACAGCCTGACTGCGATGTTCAGATCAGTGCTTTGAACCTCTCGGAAGAAACACCGCAGTGTAACTAAAGGGCGAAAACTGTGCAAACGCACAAACTGGCTAAACTTCAATTCCCCCATATTATCCTTTGACCTTGGACAAATCACTTAATGTTTCTGAATCTCTGCTCTCCCTTTTGTGACACAAGAACCCACAAATACCACCTAACTTGCTACGGTGTTATAAAAAATACTTATTTTTAAAATTCTGTAAGTGGGATTTAATGTTCAATAAAGCTAATCCCCATTCCTCGAAAGCGCTAACACTGTGATCTGCACAGCAGAGCCGAGTGTACAGAACACACAAGGCACACCTGCAAGATGTGCGGTCCCAGCGGTCGGAGATGCCTCCGCCACGCCTTCTCCCCCGCCCCACACCGGGCCTCACCTTGATGGTCGTAGACGCTAATGTAGGAGATGCCCACCGCCATACACCACACCACAAGGCTCGCGATGTCCGAGAAGCTGGGTTCTTGCTCCTCGGTGATCACCAGGCCCATATGCACAGGTAGCTTCTCCAAGGAACGGCCGTCCGCGCGCCAGCGCAGCCGGGGGTGGACAGCAGCCGGGGCCGGCCCCCCGCGCGGGTGCCGGTACTGCCGGCGGTTCCTGCCGACGGCCGGGGGCTTACGGAGCGTGAAGCCGAGCGGCGCTAGGACCGCGGCAGGAGCGGCGCGACAGGCGCGCCCCCC